GTCCACCCGCCGTGTGGCCGCCGGCTTGCCGTTTCCCCCTCCAGCCCGAGCTAGCTTAGGATTTCAAGTAAGTGGCATCCTAAACTCTACTTAGGATATCGGGTATCGACGGACTGGTTAGGGGCTGATTCGAGTTAATTAGTGGCTGTTTAGGGTTAATTAGTGGTTGTTTAAGGGCTGGTTTGGTAGACTGATTTGGGGGCCGATCGTGGCTGATTTGTGGGTGAAATTGTGAAGGTTTGGGGACTGATTTGACGCTGAATTGAGTGCTGGAAATTGTGGTTTGAAATGATGAGCATATGGTCCGATTTGGGGCCTAAACGTGTCGGTTTGATGTGTGTGGTGTCGTGGCTGGTTGTGGTGATTATTATGGCTTGGAATAGACATGAATATGTTGAATTTATGCTCATAATAGTGGCTGTGATTGTGGGTCCAATGGCGACCTTGCATGCTCGTCAAATTGTGGAATAATTGGTTGAAATGTGGACCCGTTTATATGTGCATGGGCTGAATTGAATTGGCTGGAAATTGGGCATGATTGTGTGCCAATTGAGCATGTGAAATGCGTGAGGTTTGATGTGTGTATGGGCTGAATTGGATTGGTTGGTAATTTGGCATGTGGTGTGTCAATCGAGCATGTTCGTATGATGATCGAACGTGTGAATGAGTGAAAAGTTTATGTGATATGTCGTGTGTGTGGTCACGAAAGTCCCTGAGGCGTGCAATGTAACGCGGGAAATTGAGCTGTCTCGAGGCGTGTACTTTAACGCGGGACAATGCCCGATATTACTGGAAGACCGCCAACCTAAGGCGTGTACTGTAACGCGGACAAGAGACATAGCCTGAGTCGTGTACTGTAACGTGGGCTAAGGAGTGTTGTGAATTTGAGACGGTCGTATGTGAACTGTGGACTGATAGTGGACCTTAGGCGTAAGTACGCGGGTCGGTGGCAAGTTTAATGAGAATTGTGTGGTGAGACGTGAACGAGTGTGTGAAATGCGGAATTGGAAATGCCATATGTTCGATTTGTGCTATGGGCATGAAATTAATTTGGAATGTGCATGTGGTTGGAATTTGTGTAATTGAGACTAACGTGCAGATTGTGCGCATTAAAAGCCCAGGTAAGTGCAAATGTGTGCCCGTTATGTGTTTGTTGAGTGTTGTTGTGTTTGGACTTGTCTGGAGGTACGTGTTAGCCTAGGTGGGGTTTAGGATGTTTACTTGCTGAGACGTGTCTCATGGTTTTTTAACCAAACAATTTCAGAACCCCTGCCTGGACCATGAATCTCCCACCGCCAGCACCTCAACGTTTTGTTATACCGATGCACACCGACCATGTAGTTGTAGAGTATCCGATAGATGATAATATGGCTTGGATCAAGCATACTACAGTAGTCTGGGTAGACATAGGACAACCCCTTTGGCAAGCCCACACTTATACAGCTTAGTGTTTCCTGGATGGTATGGATGAGTTTGGCCCTGTCCGTGGGTTCGATGTCCCTTTTGATAGAATAGGAGATTGGGATCCGTCGGCCATATCCCCTCCCGATGGTGAGATGACTAGTCTGGACATTAGCCTCGCACAGTCAGGACATCAGCATGCACCTGCAGCACCCGAACCTTCAGTGGCTGAGCCTGATCTGGAGCCGGAGGGGTCACAAGCAGGGTATGATCCGATGGATGTGGATCTAGGTGTAGTGCCAGAGGAAGAGCCCGAAGAAGAGCCTGAGGAGGAACCAGAAGAAGATCCAGAGATGGAGCCAGAGGAAGAACCAGAAGAAGATCCAGAGGTAGAACCAGAGGAGGAACCAAAGGATGAGCCAGAAGAGGAGTTTGAAGAGGAGGAGCAAATTGAGGTTCCGTTAGAGTCGGGTGATGAGGACAACCCGATTGAGATCGAGGCGGATTCTGAGTCCTCAAAGGAGCAGGTGGCTCAGGGGGATTCAGACTCGGGTTCTAGGGAGTCTGACTCGGAGTGGACGCCGTCTAGAGGGCGTATGGGCTAGTTTAGGGGTAGAGTGAACCTTTTTGAAGTGTCTCATTTTTGGAGTTAGGGTATACCCAAGCTACTGATCTTTTTTTTTATATCGGTGGTGTAAAGTTTAGAAGCTCGGTGTGCATGTATATTATGTGGATTGTAAGTGGTGTATTGTATAAGTTTGAATTTGTAATGAATGTATATTCTCCCTTTTACCCCTAGCTAAATATTGTCTGGGTGTTTGTTGTTTCCGCTGGTGCCTTATATATGATGTGTGGGGTCGGCGACTTCCTGGGACGTCGCAACTTTCGACCATAGAGGTATGTCACGAGCTCGATGGGGTTCAGGGCGTGACAGGTAATGAGCTTTATAATTGATTGGATGGTCATGTCAAAAAGTGTAGTAAACGATGCAATGCACATTACACATTTATACGAAGATGCTACACACGGATATAATTGAAATAAACTATATCTCTCTCAATTGGTGAAGCTGAATCTCCAAATTTATCGACGAACAACAATGCATTTTGAATGATTGACTTCAACCTTTTTTTCTCAAGACCCGCTTATTAACAGCATAGGAGAAATTTGATCCTAATTTTTTCAATTACTATCAGGATTGATCGGTCGGTCCTAATGGCGATTGTCTTGTGAAGTCAATTGGGCTGGACTTAGTGGAATATGAAAATCAAGAGTCAGATCGTCTTCACAATCCCAACATGAACGAACTCTTAGGTAGCGAATGATAACCATTCTGTTCCGGAATGAGTTCCTGAACCAGAAATAGATTTTTCTATTTCTGGTTCCTGGATGAGTTTCTGAGAAAGAAAACCCGTTTGATAATAACAAAAAATTTCTATTTCTAGAACAGAAACCCGTTTGATAACAGCACAAAATTTCTATTTCCTGAAATAAAAACCCGTTTGATAAACAATAGAAAATTCTATTTCCAGGAACAAAAATCCATTTTTTTAGAAATGGAATAAAAATAATAAAAAATCCGAAAAATTCATAAAAATCTTTAAAAAAATTCAGAAAATCCCAAAAAATTGAAAAATTCCAGAAAAAATCATCAAAATGTCGAGAAAATAAAAAAAATTCAGATTTCGGGAAAATAGGAAGTTTGTTGAATTTTTTCAAAAAAAATCAAGAAATCAAAAATTTCAAAACTTCACAGAATTGCTTAGAATACCTGTGGCCACTCACTTTTAGTGAAATTTAAATTTTTTTAGGTGCCCAAAAAAAATCAAAAAATCAAAAATTTCAAAACTTCATAGAATAGTTTAGAATACATGTGGCCACCCACTTTGAGTGAAATTTAAATTTTTTAAGGTGCCCAAAAAAATTCAAAAACTCAAAAATTTCAAAACTTTACAGAATGGCTTAGATACCTGTGGCCACCCACTTTGAGTGAAATTTTAATTTTTGGAGGTGAAAAAAAAGCAAAAAATCAAAAATTTCAAAACTTCGCAGAATGACTTAGAATACATGTGGCCATCCACTTTGAGTGAAATTTAAATTTTTTTAGGTGAAAAAAAAATCAAAAATCAAAAATTTCAAAACTTCACAGAATGACTTACAATACCTCTAGCCACCCACTTTGAGTAAAATTTAATTTTTTTTAGATGCCCAAATGGTATTTTTGATTTTTTTTTATTTTTTTTGGTTCCTAAAGAAAATTAAATTTCACTCAAAGTGGATGGCCACATGTATTCTAAGCCACTCTGTGAAGTTTTGAAAATTTTTCTTTTTTGCTTATTTTTATTTTTTTTTCGACACCTAAAAAAAATTAAATTTCACTCAAAGTGGGTGGCCAAAGGTATTCTAAGCAATTATGCGAATTTTTTATTTTTTATTTTTTTTGGCACCTAAAAAATTTAAATTTCGCTTAAAGTGGATGGCCGGGTATTCTAAGCCATTTTGTGAAGTTTTGAAATTTTTTCTTTTTTTTTTTTTTTATTTTTTTGGCACCTAAAAAATAAAATTTTCAAAGTGGGTGACAGGTATTTTAAGCCATTCTGTAAAGTTTTGAAATTTTTACTTTTTTGCTTATTTTTATTTTTTTTGGCATATAAAAAAATTTAAATTTCACTCAAAGTGGGTGGCCACAGGTATTTTAAGCTATTCTGTGAAGTTTTGAAATTTTTTATTTTTTTTATTTTTTTCGGCACCTAAAAAAATTTAAATTTCACTCAAAGTGGATGGCCACAAGTATTCTAAGCCATTCTGTGAAGTTTTGAAATTTTTGATTTTTTGCTTTTTTTTTTATTTTTTTCGGCACCTAAAAAAATAAAATTTCGCTCAAATTGGGTGGCCACAGGTATTCTAAGATATTCTGTGAAGTTTTTAAATTTTAGAATTTTTTATTTTTTTTGGCAACTAAAAAAATTAAATTTTGCTCAAAGTGGGTGGCCATAGGTTTTCTAAGCCATTTTGTGAAATTTTGAAATTTTTTATTTTTATTTATTTTTTTCGGTACCTAAAAAAATTTAAATTTCCCTGAAAGTGGGTAGCCACAGATTCTAAACAATTCTGTTAAGTTTTGAAATTTTTGATTTTTTGCTTTTTTTTCTCACCTCAAAGATCGTGACTTCCATATGAATATGTGTGTTGAAGAAAATGAATTCCTCAGAAATGGTTCTCACTTTTGTTCGAAATGAAAAACCAACTTTTTTTTGTTCTCATTTCTGGTTTTAATCGATTTTGGAAGCAAACTTGGAAATAGAAAAATGAAATTGCGTTACCAAACGGGTTTCTGGTCCAAAATTAATTCTGGGAACAAAAAAATCAGTTCTGGACAGAACCAGAATGGTTTTCATGCAGCACCTTAATGACCCGCGCTCTGATATTCCATACCCGAAAATCTGTTTTTCCATGGCAAAAGTATTGTCCAACGCACTTTATTCCATGGTACGACAACCTAATAAAGGTGAAAAAAGAAGTGGCTTTAGAAAAAGTGAGAGGGCATTATTACATGGACTCAGCTGGTCGTTCTGCTTTTTATTTCAGTCCCTGCCGGGCTCCATTATTGCGTATAGAAGAATGCCTTTCATGCTCTCATGCTCCACTAAGAATCGATGCTTTTTTCGGGGAATTAGGCTCAAGTTCTAATACATTCGAAGACTTCCACAAATCAACTCAGTAGGTTCCGAGAAAACACTGCGAAAAAACGATGGCCCTCTGGAAAAGGAGTCGTGATGAGCCACCAAGGAAGAACGGTTGTCCGAGGTGCGTGTTTTCGTGGAAGCGTGCAGAAGCGATCTTTCTTTGCATCTCCTGTCGCTCCCGGTGAGCCTGAATCAGTCAACAGTAGTGTTGGGACCCAAAAAGGTCAGTCGACCGTTTCTCTTATAAATTGCCAACCGGCGCGAGGTAACTGGAAATTTGCAATTCCGAACAAGCAAAGAAATTTGATATCCCTTCCGTAGCCAAAGATCCGCAGAATGGAACGTCCCGGAGGAAAGTCTCTCCCCCTCAGTGGTGAATCATCATCGACGTCGCTGAGGGACTACGAGGTGTTCTTGAGCTTCAGAGGGCCCGACACTCGCTTAACCATCACGGACTCTCTCTACGCGGCCATGATCCGGGCCGGGATACACGTTTTTAAAGACGACGAAGAGCTCCGTGTTGGGGAAGAGATCGGAGGCGAGCTTCTGAGAGCAATCTCTAATTCGAAAATCTATGTACCGATCTTCTCTAAAGACTACGCTTCCAGTAAATGGTGCCTCCGTGAGCTAGCGTACATGGTAGAGCATAGGAAGAGAGAGGAGAAAGCAATCTTGCCCATCTTCTACGAGGTGGATGCATCCGATGTTAAGCTCAAAACTGGATCCTACGGTAAGGCCCTACAAAAGCATGAGAGAGAGTCTGGTGAAGATGTTGCGAAGCAGTGGGAGGAGGCCCTAAGAGAGGTTGCTGGAATCAAGGGATGGAACTTAAAAGATCACGGGTAATTAATGACAACTTCTGCACTTTCATTTCTAAAATTAGATCGCAGTTTCATAACCATGAAAACTCAATATATAGATCAACCTCTCTTTCTCTAATTTTCTCAAGTCAATGGAAAATGAAATGGTTGTGCATGTTAAGAATATGTCCCTAGTTTGAGCAATTTGAGTATGTTTCCTATAAAAAAAAAAGTTTCATGTTTTGGATAATACTTGTGGGTTTACTTTGCGTTTAATTTAGATGTGAGAAACACTTGCGCGTGTGAACGATTGTAACTTTGATTCTCCGATTAGTAGTGGATTATTTTCTGCTTGCTCTCCCTGTGGAGTGCATACCGATACTTAGACCGAACCACGTAAATATCTGGTGTTATTTATTGTTCCTCATTTATTTCTTTAGTAATTTTGTATTGATTTAATTGCAAGTTCTGTCTAGCTTCCGTGTTATATTACAATAGTTCAAATTACCGCGTCCATTTCCAAAAGTCCTTCATTGCATCTGCATATAAATGTTTAGAACTCTTAACCAATCCATTGACTGCACTTTTGCACGCAGTCTATCACATGGTTCCTCTTTGCTGTAATACTTATTACAATTGAATCTCATAAATCATTTGATGATGAATTTTACCCATGACTTTGGTGTAGCAAAGTCCCCATTAAAGCATTAACTTCCTCTTTAAAGTTGGCCCCGCCGAAGGATACTCTACCTATACAACTTGTGATTTGATCCAATTTCGCCGTTTGCCATCCTAGAAGCCCGGCACGAATCAAAAAAATTGGGCCGGTTCGGGCTCTTGGGCTAGCGAACTACTTTTGATGGCCACGTGGCCTATTAGAACTTTACTGATTGACCATCTAAATACTCTTCAGAACTGGCCCTTCCACCTCAAACTCCAACCATTGTTCTCAATAACTGAGATCAATCTTCTCGGCTTGGGGTGGACCGAATATGAAACAGACTGATAATTCATGCTTGATTTTTACAATCAAAGTTTCTGATTTTACATATTTATACTTCTGTGCGACATAGCCTGTTTGTGGTTCCTCAAATTGAAATAGTTGCGTTGTGTACATGGCAGCCAGGATAAACTTATAGCACTTGTCCTAGAAAAAGTTTTCAATAAGCTGAGGTCTACTCAGAGAAATTGGAATGATGACTTGGTGGGAATTCACTATCAGATGGAAGCCGTTATGGAGTTGTTAGGCCAAGGCACTCCCGGTGTACGATTTGTTGTGATTCATGGTATGGGTGGTATCGGGAAAACAACTCTTGCTAAGGCTATCTTCAAGCATATCTCTTCTCAGTTTCAATGTTCTAGCTTTCTTTCAGATATCCGCATTCACAATATTTTAAGTCTGCAGAATAAATTATTATGTGACCTTCTCGATGTTAGACATCCTTATGTTACTGATGCTGATGAGGGGATGTCCATGATTAAGAAAAGACTCAGTAATAAGAAAGTCATCGTTGTTCTTGATGATATGGACAAGAGGTACAAACTCATGAAACTAGCTGGTAAGTCTAGTTGGTTTGGTTCGGAAAGCAGAATTATTATCACAACTAGGAACACCTATTTTTTGGCTCCTGAAACTGACACCCTAGATAACAATATCATTCCAGTGCGTTATCGAGATTTCTTCTTTTATGAAATGAAAGAAATGCAGTTTGACCATGCTCTTCAACTTTTTAGCAAGCACTCCTTCGAAAGAGACTCACCTCCACATGATTTCAGCAGTATCTCAAGTGAAATTGTCAAATTTACTGGAGGACTACCTTTAGCTCTTGAAGTTATAGGTTCATTACTCCATTCAAAAAGCAAGAGAACATGGAAAGAGACATCGAAGAAGTTGAAGAAAGTGCCCAATCAGGATGTCCAGAAAACGTTGTTGATAAGTTACAAAGAATTAGATTATGAGCAGCAACAAATTTTTCTTGATATCGCATGTCACTGCATTGGTGAAGAAAGGATCCCCGCATATTATATGTGGAAAGCTTGTGATTTTTTTCCGAAAACTGGGCTCCATGTCCTTATTCATTTATCTTTGATAAAGTTCATCGAGGATGATAGACTATGGATGCATGATCAACTCAGAGATCTTGGAAGAGAGATTGTTCGGCAAGAATGCTTTCAAGTTCCTGGAAGGCGTAGTAGGTTGTGGTGTCCTATGGTCGCCTTAGATGTGGTTCAGAATAACCTGGTATGTCTGACTAAAAGTTATTTGCTCATGGAAAAACTAAACATGCGATTATGCATATTAGAGTTCATTTTCACCCAAAATATCTGCTCATTTTTGTACCCAGGAAGGACATTAATGATTTTGCTTAATTTGAGAGAAATAAACAGCATTCCAAAATATATAATTCTTACCATTATAACTCCCATCTAAGTTGGAGAGATAAGGAATCCTGGAATTCGCCCTTTCTGGTATAAGATAAGATCTACGTGCCCTTTTTTGCTAGTTTACTTATGTCTTGTATTGATTGAAATAAGATATATGCTCCCTATTCTGATATTTAGAATTCACTCTAAATCGTTCACTCATATTGGTATCTGTTGCTTCAAATTATCAGGGAACAGACACCATTGTGGCACTCAAACTCCCAGGACTTGCCAATGCACACAATTTTACTAGTGGCGAATTTTCAAGGCTGCCTAGTTTAAGGTTCCTAGAATTAGAAGGAGGAAACTTTGTAGGAGACTTTAAAAATCTTCTCTCAAATCTAGCATGGCTCTCTTGGCGTCATTGCCCTTCAAACCTACATGCCAACGGTTTATGTCTAAAGAACTTGGCCGTTCTCAAGCTTTCAGAGAGCGACATTACTGAATACTGGAATGGATGGGGACCATGCATGGTATAATTTCATATAATACATTATTTTTCCTTTGTGTGTGTACACATTTGTCACATTGAGTTGACTTTCACCTATGCCATTGTTTTCCTCGATATTTGTCTGTTTCACAGGGGAATGATAACCTGAAAGTCATAAATCTGACAAGGTGCAAGTGCTTAATGAGGACACCTGACTTCTCCAAGTGCATGAATTTGAAAATATTGGTTATCAAAGAGTGTGAATTATTGAAAGAAATCAATAGTTCTATCGGACAGCTGGGGCGCCTGAAGTGCTTGGAAATCATCGAGGAGCCTCGTCTATGGATGCAAGCTGCAAGTGTTTCATCATTCAACAATTTCACCGCTCCTGTTCCTCATCCTCTATTACCAGACTCAATTGGTGGCTTGAAATCCTTGTCAATGCTGAAGGTGGAATATCAGGGAAGTGTTAAAGCACTTCCGCACTCAATAGGAGAGCTACTAGGTTTGAAGCATCTATCTCTACGTGGTTGTGCATTTGTTAGAAAGCTTCCGAATTCCGTTGGACAGTTGAGATCACTCCTCTGTTTGGATTTGTCTGGCACTGATATAAGTGAATTACCATATTCCATCGGCAGACTAGAATCGCTACTCAAAATGGATCTATCTCGCACAAATATTGCAGAATTACCTAATTCTATTGGCAACCTTAAACAGTTGAAGTTCATGTGTTTGGATTGGACGAAGATAAGAGAGCTACCAAAGAGCATATGGACTCTGGAGAATCTCGAGGAGTTGACTGCTAGAGGCTGTCAAAATCTCGAGGGCGAAATTCCAAGTGAAATTGCGGGACTATCCCAATTGACGATTTTGAACTTGTCCCAGAGCAAGGTTAGTGGAGTGCCAATGACACTCAATCAGCTTTCTAATCTCCGAGAACTTGTTTTAACGAATTGTAACGGGCTTCAGTCGCTACCGGATCTCCCGACAAGTTTAACAAAGCTAGAGCTATCGTCTTCATCGGTGCAGTCAGTGCCCGACCTCCCACGCAGACTCTCTCTCTCCTCATTTTTCCCTCTTCTTTCTCGTGCATACTATCTCTATTGCAGGCAGCATCCGAAACTAGAGTGGCTTGGAAGGCTTCATGAATTGCAGACGTTGAGACTGGTTCTTTCCGATTTCAACTTTCCTCCGACTGACTTGAGCTCCCTTTCTCAGCTCCGGTCACTTGAAATAACTTGTCCAGACCCACGGTCTCTGACTCGGCTTCCGTCCAGTTTAAAATACTTGAGCTTAGAAGATGTGAGGACACCAATAGAATGGCCACTGTTCTCCAACTTGGGCAATTTGTCTGAATTAAAGCTCTTCGGTTGTCAGTTAAGAGAGATTGAGTTTGACAATGAGCTTGGACAGCTAGAGAATCTCCGGCGTTTGCAAGTGCGCAAGTGCGGGTCGCTTGTGAGGCTATCCAATCTATCGAGCTTAAAGGAGCTCCGAGTGCTGAGCGTGGAGTACTGCCCAAAGCTTACTGAGATCGAATCCCAACCATTGTCAACTGGAGATTGCAGTTCTACGGAGAGGCCCATTCCTGATTCACTGAAGCTAGAGAAGCTCGAGTCTTTTAGAGTCTACTATTGCGCATCAGTGCGAAAGTTGCCTGCTATACCAAATGCATGTCGTGTCGACGTCATCCCACAAAAATACGTAAGAAGGTCTGAAAGTGGGCCCGTCTTCATAGAAGATCTGGCTAATTCCACAGAAGATTCGGGCATGGAGATTTTGTCTGAAGGCGAACTCCGGCGACCGTGGTTTTATTGCGTGAGATTGCATGTTCCCCAAAATTCCCAAGAAGAGTTCCTTGAAGAATTGTTAAGCTAAGGAGATCTCAGCCCACTGAGGACCCCTCCTGAAAAAAGAAGGCCCAAGACATCTTAGCCCACTTAGCTTAGCCCATCTTCTTGGTTCCTTCTGGAGCTGGTTCATAGGAAAAATAAGGAGCGGAAAAGGAGAGGAGTAAGTCGGCAAAAGAAAGAGAAAACGGAAAAGGAGGGGAGTGGGTCGGCGCTTTTGGTGCGATTCGGAGGCCTCGACAAGCTAGATTAATACCGTTTCGAAGCGCTCGGTAAGGATTCGAAACTTTAATTCATCTAATCAAATCAAGAGATTTGCTCAGTTAAGCTGTGATTTTAGATCAGTTCGGGTGTCAGTTTGCTAGGTTGATTCTAGAGATCGTTGATCCGTGAAACGATGCCGTTTTGAAACCTTAGGTTGTCTTGGAATCGTCAGATTTTACGGATTTCCGTTTGAGAGAGATTGATTTTTCGGAGTTCTCGAAAACCAATTTAGAGTAACTGCAACCAGCAGTGTTTCGTCCAGGATTTCATCAGTTGTCGGCCAATTTTTGGTTCTAAGGAGTTTTAAATCTTTTAGTACTTTGAATGAGCTCTCTTTTGACTGTATACTACTTGAAACGGAGTTCGGTAGATATATTTGAGCCCCCGTAGTTCGCAGCTGCTCTGTTTGCTGTAGCAAGTTTCATGCTTGTGTGGCCTTTTTCCACTAAGAACTACGGTAGAGCAGTTTATGAATGTCTTCATGGTGGACTTTGTCGACTCATAGTGGACGTTTTGACCCCAAAAATTAGCGTCGCCTGGTAGAATCTTAGTTGAGGTTAGTGATATGTAACTTTCACATTTGGTTAATGTTTTCTTTGATAGAAGCTTGAAGCTTTTTGGGTGGTATAGCTTTTAATTTGGCTTTTGGTTAGCGAGAAGTGGTGCTTATCTCTTCTAAGATTTGTAAATACACTACTTGAAAATCATAGTAATTAGATATGCTATAAGTTATGAATGAGACATTGCACGTTTTGATATTTATTATAAATAATGGTGTTTAGAACATCTTGTTGCATAAAGCTGGATCGGACATTTATTACCCATTTGTTTTTTTGAAATAGCAGAGTAAAATATCTCTTGAAATAGTTTGAGAGTTGATTATTTATGAAATGGTTTGAGAAATTTTTCATGAATGTGTTCTTCTTGTGGACAGAATTGAGAAGGGTTGTATCAATTTGTAAATCCGATTTATTAAATGAATCCTAAAATGGTTTTGTTGTTGAGAGGATTATGTCGATGGTTTTATCCTCTTGTCGCTATGATCTGAAACCATTTAAGGGTTGTGAGTATGCATTCATGTTCTCAGGATGTCCTGTATGGCCAAAGCCACCGGCTGACATTAGTGGAGACCTATGCCAAGGAGGGAATCTTGGTAAGCCCTCTAATGCGGCGTTAAACATGGCTATAGTTTGATCTGAAGTAATAGAGTGATCAATTGACTAGACCACTGATGTTTGCTTCGATATTGTTGATCGAATGAGTGTTTCTATTATGTGTAAAAGGTTGCTGAAGTGATGTAACTAATATTTAGAGTTTTACATATATTACATACTGGATTTGGTTGTGTTTCCATTATTGTTTAAAAATGTGCATAGTTGATGCTCGATTTGTTGAGAAAAGATATGTACTATTTATCGAGCGGTGGTTTGCTTATATCATTCATCTCAATTCTTTTTCAGCTGCCGACAAATAGGAGGAGAGCAATATCAGTGGAGGAATCGTAGGAGTTTGGATTTTGGGTATAAGTTGAGATAATTATAGAAATTTAGTTCTGTAACCAGCTTATTATTCTTATGAGATATTAGTGGATATATATTTTGATAACAGGTTAATGTTGGTTACGCTTATGAGACTGCATCCTTTGGATAGAAGGATAACCGTGCCATTTTCCTTATGTATGTAGAGTTGGGGTGCGATGGTTTTATCAATTTGTTGTTTTAAGCTTTGTTCAGATAAATCAAGCTGTACGAGTAGTCATAGTTCGGACTATGATACCGCATATAGCGCAAGTCAAAAGGTTGTGTGAGAGAATAATATTGCTTTGGCTCAGCGTTATTTGCTTCAGCTTTTGCTCTTCCCCTATATGCTCTAATTTTTACATTCAATTTTCTGTTACTGTATTTTGAACACCCAAAACTAATAAGTAAGCGAAAACTTGGAAGGCAATTCATCTAACGGTTTTAATTCTTTTGTTCTTAAGGTTTTTGGGATTATATATGATATGGAGTGTAACTCGAAATGTCCATACCTTTGGGAATTCAAATTGGGGCATAACCTTAATGGTCGAAAGCAAAAATGTTTTATTCTTATGTAAGATTCACTTAGCTATCGAAGTAGATTTGCTACTGAAAAGAGGAGGAAATGAAAATGATATTCATAGTGATTTTTCTTTCTCACAGGAAAACTACCTCACCTAAGAAGTATGACACGTAATTTCAGCCAATTCTTTTCGAGAAGTAACCTGCAATACAATCCAATACATATATGCTCACTTTAGGATAACCATTGTGCATCGGGTTCAATGTGCTTTCGTCAAATTTAGGCATTGACAGCTCCATAGGTTTGATGTGCCTTCAATAATAAGCACAGAACAAACATTGGTAGCGTGTACCTTAGCCCACTCTCTGTGCTTTTCATTTTGCTTGCCACTTCTTTTTATTCCTGTCATGAATATCTCATATACAATCTTACATTTGTATGTATTTATTCTGAAAAGATCGGGAAGTACTGCTAGGTTTAATCACGTAGGTTCACTTTCATTGACCCTTCAAGCCCACGCTGCGCATAAATTGTAAGACAACTGAGGTATTGGTTGCTTCGATCCATGTCCTAGTTGTTAAAGTTTAAACATTGTGCCTAGTTTGTTGAAAAATCTGAACTACTGTTCCTGCACATTTAACTCTGCTGGACAAGTATCATCTGCTTCTAATCAATTCATCGACGGCCCTATTTCAGGAAAGTGATATTGCGCTGCGAGGACTCTTTATTGCTTTTTTCCATTGACTTCAAGGAAGGAAGTGTCGAATCTTCTTGCAATTCATCTATTTGCACTCACCGGGGTAAGTTTACAGAAGAGTCGGGCTGTTTGTAAAAAGTTCAAAACACCTTAGTGTTTTGCAGTACTTGATATGGAGAGGTATCAGCAGATTGAGTTTGGCGAACTTCTGAAATTAGTGGGACCCTTCTGTTCCGAAATTCTTTTCAGGTGTTCGGAACTTCAACAATGTATGTGCTTTACCATCAAGATAGTTCTTATGGCTCTGAATTTCGGCGATAAATGGTAACTCCATGTCGTGTAGTATCTTAGTTTAGCGCAGTACCTGGAGCGAACTACTTTCCAAGTATAAAAATGACTGGGTTATCGGTAGTCGTCTTCAATGACCCGATCATCGGTGTCAACTCGGACTCGAAAGTCGCCTTAGTTGTCAAGTTCGATACGATTTCCTCAAAGATCTCGCTTTGAAGGTCCGGGTGGAGCTCCCAAATGAACCGTGGACATACAGCTCTTGCGATCGCACACCACCGGCCATGGATTTGGGCCAACATTGGCCTAATTCCAAAAAACAAGCACCAACTCTACCTTGAGTGACAATTCTAGCCCGAATTATTTTTTATTTAATAAAAAATCACAAACTTTCACTTAAATCCGAAACTTGGCCCGAACAATTTAAAAATTTTACATCACGGGGGCCAAATTTGAGACTCAAGTAAAAGTTAGTACTTTTTATTGAGACAAAAAAAAGTTTGGGACAAAATTGTCATTCAAGGTAAAGTTGGTATTTTTTTTTTTTTGGAATTAGCTTGCCAAGGTCTAGTGCGCTCAAGTCCAAGTTGGTGAATTAGTACCTCTTTGATACACTAGTAGGGGTGTGCAACCGGACCGGGTTTACCCAGAAACCGGACTGGCCCACCAGAAAAACAAATCCTAGAACTGGTTCCATTTTTTGGGAACCGGTTAGAACCGGTCCGGTTTCCGATTCCAAGTGAAAATCCACCCAAACCGGTTTTAGAATCAGTTTATATGAAGGTCCACTTGCTATTTTATATGATCATAATTCAAAGCATTCTATCATAAAAGGATGAGAGAGGTGATTATTATTTGCGGATAGTTTAATTCAAGGGCTTGTAAGTATTATAGGGGGCAATTTCCCTTTTCTTAAAATTTTTGTTCTATAACGAAGAAACTACATATCCAACTGAAATCTATATTGTTTTATCACGTTCATTAAACTATTGAAACTAAGATAATATGCTTTTGTATGAATACTTAAGATTGTTTGCATAGTCAAACTTATAACCTTTGATTTGAGTTATAAGTTTTCCTATTTGCTACCTGGAAAAAGTGAAACCAAAAAAAGGAACAAAAAAAAAGGGGTTCTCGAGTAGACCTTGTAACCGGACCGAAAAAACAGGGTAAGTTCCAAAATAGAGTCCAGGATAAAAAGGATAGGTTTCAAGTTCCAAAAACTATGAACCGGTTATAACAAGATCGGTTTTAGGTTCTAGATCGGGAACCAACCCACTCTAGAACCGATCACCCCTACACCATTCGTATGCTCGAGATCCGAGTTGGTGAATTAGTACCTCTTCAATACACCATTCGTTTAAGGAATCTGAGAGGATTAGTCTAATCGAGATCAATGGCAATTTCAAGGAAGCTAAACTGATAGACGATGATCTTGACCAAAAAGAAAAATAATAGATGATGATGGTAAGGAGTCATATAAAGAAAATTTTATAACGAGCCACATGATTGAATATTTTACGTAATTAATTTGACTTAATTTTAAATTGAATCCTACTTACCTTCAATTTGGTTTAGGATTTACCTATATGATAATATGGATGTATGGAGTATGGCACTAAAAAGGTTCATATAAATTTCATGAGAAATAAATTGCGTCGGTTGAATTGGGTATAACTTTTTTTTTAATACAATTTTAAGCAAGTTATACTTAAATTTTGAAGTGACCGTCATAAGTAAAATAAGTTATTTGAAGAATTGTTTCCGCTAATTGTTATTATCATATAGACAAGATATAAATATAGATATAATAGTTTAATACCCATAAGGTTTGTCTACATTTATTTTTACTTTATACTTTTTTTTAATCTAAATCTCGGGGCTCACGCATTGGACTTTTATTAACTTCAAAATTTTTTGAAATTTTCACCATACTCAAATATTTGTTACTTAGATTCACATACAGTTTTTTTTTCAGAATATTTTAACATTCAAATGATATTCTTAATTTTGACGGAAAAAGTAAAAGATATATGCTTTTTTGCTCTTATATAAGTCCGAAGGAACATACTTTCTTTAGATGGAAAATGGTCTTCCCTTTTAATCTTGTAAAATTAACGAACTCCTATTCTGTTTACATGAGGCTGGCGCTTTCTTCACTAATAACAGAGAGCGCGACGCTCAGAAGCATTTGCCACCTCTCATTTTTGCTTCAAGAACTCTCTCAGCTCTTTGCTCTCTCTCTCTCTCTCTCTCTCTCTCTCAAGAAAATGCAACTCCTGCAGTGCCCATCTTCTCCATCTCTCTCCTTGTGCTGCTCAAAAGTTCAACCAAACAGGGGTAACTTCTGCGCTCATCTATGCAATGATCATTGGACTGACACTGCCACTCCTCGTTTCATCACCTGGACCGTTCTGTTGTAGGACCGTGTTTCGTGGCAAATTCCCTCACGGCATCGGCAATCAGCTCTTATGTCCAGCAACAGTGGCTTCGAAGCTCCAGATGGATATCTCGCAAACCGCCCGTTTCGAATTCCCCTGCAGCTAAGGCTGCTTCAGTGGAAGGTACTTTATGTTTTCTTTTTCCCTTGTTCTTTCTATGGATAATTTGAATCCATTGATTATTAGGTGCCTGTTATATTTGGTAAATACCCAAATGGGATTCTTTTTCTTTTTCTTTTTTATGTCTGAGTATTTATCTATCTGAGCTATGAGAACCCGGTAGCTACTTTCAAAAACAAAATAGAAATGTTGAGAATTTGACAGAGTGATCTTGTGGATTGAGTGGAAGTGATACAGTTAAGATTTTTTCTAGTACGCCAATAGCCTGATTTGATTAAATGTGTCGTCGTAAGTAAGTGTCCATGTTCAGTTCTTCGTAACTATCTGCAATTTATTGTTTGGAGCTAATAATCTGCTATCTGAGTTTCTAAAAATGAGCAGGTTTCATGGTAAATCCGATGGCTCGTGCCATCAAGTCAATCTGCTTCAACTGATACATATCATAGTCCCTACAAAGACAAACTTACATGTGTTGCCATGAAAAAAAATTTGGTGTTGTATTTAGTAGGCCAAATTAAAAAGGACTGGCTCTGTCAAATTATGTTCTCGGAATTGCAAAGAAACTATACATGAATACATGAAAAGAAAACAATTAGAGCGATCTTGTGCGCGCTTTGTATTATTAAGAACCCACCCAAAATAACCACTCTTTGCTACCCCAACCAAATTTGAATAGCCCTGAGTAGATAGCGAAGGATATTGGAGTTTATAATCTTAAGGGATTAAGGGCCAAATATAATTGCCTATCCTGGATGTGCCGCACAAAATTGACTGGTTACTTTGTTGCTAAGTTTTCGCCGCTTGTTCTCCTCTGATTTAATTTGTTCATCGTATAAGCTTGATGTCATTCTGTGTAACTTATCTGCTCTTGTAATCGTAGAGAGTACTTCTGCTGTTTCGGCTCAGACAGCTGAAAGCGATGTGCTGAAGGCCTTGTCTCAAATTATTGATCCTGACTTTGGAACAGACATTGTTTCATGTGGTTTTGTTAAGGACCTCCTCATAGATGAAGCTCTTGGAGAGGTAATTAAAGAATTAGTCTGAGATTTTATTATTTATACATCTGTAAGGAATGACACCCTTAACCTACAATGTCTTGGCTTTCATTCTCAGGTTTCGTTCCGGTTAGAGCTCACTACACCTGCATGTCCAATCAAGGACATGGTAAATAACACAACCTATGTTGCTTGCTCAGTAACCTAATACATGCTCAGTGCACTAAATTCTCTGTCTTGTGTATAAATTACTTTTAGAAACGACTGATACCTGCTCCTTTTGACACCCTTCCGTAAATCTCTTTGTGCATGTACAATTTCGAAGTATTTATGGAACTAATCTAACGTATTTTTTCTGCTTCATAATGGTTTCCTAAGAGTCTTTGCCCGATATATCAGGTTATTGAACCTTAAATAGTTTAACAGCATGAGTATCCCTTGACAGTTTGAGCAGCAAGCAAATGAGGTGGTGGCCAATCTTCATTGGGTCAAGAATGTTAAAGTTACCATGTCAGCACAACCAGCAAAACCTGTTTTCACTGGTCAACTTCCTCCAGGGTTACAGACGATCTCAAACATTATAGCAGTTTCAAGTTGCAAGGTAGGGTTACTTAACCTTTTGTTGCACTTCATTTTCCATGTTGTGACAAAATAGCTATTTCAGTGCATGACATTTGGGCTACAAAATGTTTTTGGGGTTGCTTTGAGAAGGTTGATGATATACAGATGACCTACAGTTTCATTCCATTGTGATGATTTCCCTGATTAGTGAATTTCATAACTGAAAAGATTTGAGTATTTTCCGATCGCGGTTTTACATGTTTGGTTACTAAAATTAAAAAGTACTATTCTTTAATTTCTTCTATCATGACTGCTGTCTGTCAGAACTGTTCAGGGAGGCGTGGGAAAATCAACTGTAGCTGTAAATCTTGCATATACTTTGACTGGAATGGGAGCTAGAGTTGGTATTTTTGATGCCGATGTGTATGGTCCAAGTTTACCAACAATGGTTTCCCCTGAAAACCGACTTCTGGAAATGGTAATAAAGCTTATAGTTCCACTTCCACTACAATGAAATTGATTTCTAGTTTAGTGAAGTAATGCATTTATTATTTCCGCCTACCTTTTTCCAGAACCCAGAGAAAAGAAGCATAATTCCCACAGAATACCTAGGAGTGAAGCTGGTATCTTTCGGATTTGCTGGACAAGGCCGGGCAATTATGCGAGGTCCAATGGTTTCTGGTGTCATTGACCAACTCTTGACTACTACTGAGTGGTATGAAAAATCATTGGAACTTTATGACATTGGCTGATTGGAGGGGAATATTCGTCATGCTTTCATGCTGTGGTTATTATATTCAAATTTCTGTTCACTGTCATTGTTGTCAAAGCGTGTTTTATTCCTATAAGAGAAGTGTGTGGTTCAAACTAAACTACAGTTAATCAAGAATGATGATTTTCTCTCATCATTCTGGTTTTTTTGGCTTCTGGGTCAGGCTTCTGCAGCTAAGCATTACTCAACTTTCCTTGCAGGGGAGAGTTGGATTACCTTGTTATTGACATGCCACCAGGGACTGGCGACATCCAGCTTACATTATGCCAGGTTCTCATTTTGTGACTTTTCATCTTAGATCAGTAAAAATTATGAACAGAATATTTTGTTACTCTTTAATGTTTATCTCTCTATCCTTTACAAACAAAGCATATCTTTACAACTAGAAGCTGCTAGTCGCAGGCATTTTGCGTCAGATAATACTCTTGCAAGTTTTGTTTGTTGTGCAGTTTTCAATATTAATGTAACGATATTAACTTTTCAGGTTGTACCCTTGACAGCTGCTGTCATTGTTACCACCCCTCAAAAACTTGCATTTATAGATGTAGCAAAGGGAGTTCGCATGTTCTCGAAACTTAAGGTTTGTGCCTTTGTACTATCAACAATCCCTATTCAACACCAACCTTTGATAAAGCAAACTTTACATCATTTATCAAGATTTCTGGAATACGATGAAACATAAAAATGTAATTTAAAAGATACAGATTCACCATGACAATTATTGTACAGAATGTTGTTGAAAATTGGCTTGAAGTCGTACATTTTTGGCATAGTAGAAACTTGCATATGGACGATTTATCCTGTATCTGAGCTTCCTTTTGTTTTTGAGCTGTTTTGTGTATGTCTTCAGTTTGGACTCGTTTTGTAGAGAGTTTGCAACCCCCTCCCTTTCTCTTGGTGCCCAATAGTTGAACTTTCTTCTATCTATGAAAGAGTCATCTTTTGACATTCCACTGTTCATGCACGCAGGTACCCTGTGTCGCTGTTGTGGAAAATATGTGCCACTTTGATGCTGATGGAAAGCGCTATTACCCATTTGGTAGAGGATCAGGCTCTCAGGCATGTTCATCTGATTACATTTTGTTTGGTTTGCTTGTTACTAAGTAAGGCCAGAGAGCTAATCCTAGGGTCACACTCTGATATTAAAGGATGAAGCATATTCTCTGTGTTCTGACGGTGGGCTGGTTTTATTGACAGGTTGTCCAGCAGTTTGGAATTCCTCATTTGTTCGATCTTCCCATTAGACCAACAGTATGTCCTCTGACAAGTTCTATGATCTTATCTTTCTTTATTGTGCCTTTTGTTCTCTTGAAGTCCATTTCTTACTCCTGGTGAAGCATGATGGATGATAATGATTTCTTCCATTGATATTAGCTTTCAGCCTCTGGAGATAGTGGAATGCCAGAAGTTGTGGCAGATCCTCAAGGTGAAGTTGCCAAGACATTCCAGGACCTCGGAGTGTGTGTCGTGCAACAGTGTGCCAAGATTCGTCAGCAAGGTAGTTTATGATTATTAGGTTAAAACAACTTCTCGATAAAGGTTGAGAGAAATATCTGTGCTTCGAGACTCCAGTGCCAGCGTCTAACTAGATTCGTAAGATCAGAACTTTACCGGTTCATCATTTGCAACTAAAATTTTAGGTTTATCTCCCCTCCCACGATTGAACTAAACGAATAACCTTCAGAAATTGCATATCTTTTCGAATCTTGGCTTTCATATTCGAATGATTCAAAGTGTCATCTTCATTTCCAGTGTCAACAGCTGTAACTTATGATAAAGTCATCAAGGCAATCAAAGTGAAGGTCCCGGATTCAGATGAGGAGTTCTTTCTACACCCTGCGACCGTGAGAAGAAATGACCGATCAGCTCAAAGTGTGGTATAAGGACTTTCCTATGACCTAGAAAGCTCCTCTGTTTGTTTTTCCCTTTGCAAATTGAAAGTAGGCTTTGTAGGTTCTTATTGCATCGGTGTCAATACAATCATGCATAACCTTGGGAAATAGATAGATGCTGATCCAATAGTTAAACTGTTCAGGCTGGTTGCTGCGTTTCACCAGACAAGCATTGGTTTAAATCTACAAATGGACCTCCAAGCTAATTTATGAACCTCATTTGAATTAAATCAAAGGTCTAAGAGCACATTTTGAAAATGTAGATAAGTGGATTTGAGCAGCTTTCATGCCATTACGCATAATCTGAGCACTCATACATGAAGATTGAGCATGATTTCACTTCAACCTTAGATCTTATCTTCACATGATGGTTTAAATTAACTTTACTGTATCTCAGTGATCCAAGTGTTTGATCAACTGAATCTTGAGCATTAGTAATTCGGTATGGTAGATTTTAGATGAGCATTGAACTTCTTCATCGAAATATATCCAGTCAACTAAAAATACTTCGTTGTTTGAATAGTTTTTACTCTGATTTCCCCCTCATTCGGCATCCTTTGTCGTGCTGATAAACATCTAACAGCATAGGGATTCAGAGTATAACAGCAGTTGTTCTCTTGCTGAAACGATCCTTTTGACATTTCTACTTGTCCCGTGCTCGTCTTAATAGCTGGACTTCAACTAATGAAGAGAATCTTTCTTATGCCACTAATGTGCACGTCAGGATGAGTGGACAGGGGGGCAAAAGCTGCAGTATTCTGATGTTCCAGAAGACATTGAACCAGAAGAAATTCGGCCAATGGGAAACTATGCCGTGTCCATAGTTTGGCCAGACGGATTTAACCAGGTGACCAACCCTTTTCTACCATGTCACATTCGAATGAATTACATCCCTCTTTTCGTCGTGGTTCACCAGTAATTGGAAAAAAGTTCAGAAAAGTTTGTAAGAAGGAATTTACTCGGACGACACATTCATCAATCCGCCATTACCATTTTTTCTCTATTTAATTCCTCTCCTTGGTGCAGATTGCTCCATATGATCAGTTGCAAACGATTGAGCGGCTGGTCGGCGTTCCTGCACGGTCATGACTTGTCCAGTGAACACTAGATCAAGGCTTCGGTGAAAGGAACTGGCAAGAACTATAATCTTCTCGAGAATGGTAATCGACATCGTTTTCTCTCTGCCCGCCTGATGGCTTGTGAGTAAGGGCGGCAGAATGGCGAACGCAGAGTAAGCTCGAACAGATGAACACAGGGAGAGACATTCGAGCCCCGAAAGCCTCTCTACACGTGCTTGCTCTCTCCTCTCTTCTTTTCCATTTTCTCTTGTGCACTTTGTGTAAGAATCTCAGAATATAAGGAAATTCCAGTACATGATGCACTTGCCTTCATTTTTTAGTATCCATCTGGTGTTCTTGCAAACCAGTCTCACCTCCATCACTCTCTGCCTTACCTGGTATAAAAAAGAAAAAATAACACAAATGGTCCTTAAACATTGACCTAATGTGCAATGTGATTTTATGAACTTTTAATTTGTTCAATGTAGTCCCTAAACTTTAGCTTAATATGCAATATCGTCCCTCAACTTTTAATCTGTTCAATGTGATCCCCGAACTTTGGATACATGTTCAATCTAGTGTCTGGACCATGTAAAAATGTTTGATGTTATGTTATTCTAAACTTGAATCGGTAGAAAGATGACATTGAATATTTTCCATATAATTCATGGACTAATTTGAACATGTACAAAAAATTTAGAGATCACATTGAATAAATTAAAAGTTCAGGGACCATATTACACATTGGGCTAAATTTCAGCGATCACATTGAATAAATTGAAAGTTCATGGATAATATTGCACATTTGGTCAAACTTCAGGAATTATTTGTGTCATTGTCCCTATCAAAAAAAGTCGTTAAGGGTTGAAATGAAAAGAAAAGCGTGGTTGAGGGACCGAATTGAAAACTCAGCTAAAGTGTGGGGGCGAAATGTATAATTCTCAAGATAATAATAAGCGACGAAGGAATTGATTCCATAGCCACTGAGTTGTGAGTACTGATACTCCGATGGCCGGAGCTCGCTCGTCTCTCGCAATCTTCCTCCGCCACAACCACGGCGGCTTCCGGCGGACCCCTAGCTCTCACGGTCACGTCCAACGCCTCAGCGTCGGTGCCGTCGACGGCGGCGGCGACCGCCGAGACGGGACCCCCTCGCTGTCGGAGATCGCCGAGAAGGTCTGCAAGATCACGCGCGCGAGACCCCGGTGGGAGGCGACCCTGGTTTCCGATTTCCCCTCCTTCGATTTCTCGGACCCCAGCTTCTTCCGCGAGCTGTTCAGGCAGCAGAGCAACGCCTTCCTTTCCCTGCGCTTCTTCCGCTGGGCCGCCTCGCGCCGCGACGGCGCGCCCGACCCGGGTTCGTGCGAGCTGCTGTTCGATGCCCTGGTCGCGGCCAAGTCGCCCGGTGCCGCGAGGTCGCTGCTCGAGACCACGGGGTTCTCGCCCGGGGCGGATTCGCTGGAGCGCTACGTGCACTGCGCTTGCGAGGGCGGGCAGCTCGAGGACGCGATCGATGGCTTTTTCAAATTGGGAGAGTCGGGGGTTTGCCCGTCGATCGGGACGTGGAATTCGGTGTTGAAATGCTGCCTCGAGGCGCGGAGGAGCGATCTCGCCTTGGAGCTCTATGAGGAGATGGTGAAATTGGGCGTTGCAGGCGAGGCGAATGCCGAGACCATTGGGCACCTGATTCGAGCCTTTTGCGAAGGTGGGAATCTTTTGAGAGGCTATGAGTTGCTTTGGCAAGGGATTGAAAGCGGATTGATCCCTCAGTATGCGACTTTCATTAGGTTGATATCTGGGTTTTCTAGGCAAGGGGATTATGCGAAGGTGTCCCAAATACTCCACTTGATGATCGTGAAGGACCGAGCTCCGGATATATTCGTATATCAGGAAGTCATTAATGGGCTCTGCAAGAATGGGAGGCAGCTCGAGGCTTATCGGATTTTCGGTGATCTAAAGGATAGAGGGTACTTTCCGGACAGGGTCATGTACGCTACATTGATTCACGGGTTCTGCAACATCGGATGGATGGGTGAGGCGAGGAAGTTGTGGTTTGAAATGATTCGTAAAGGCTTTGTCCCTAATGAGCGTACTTACACTTCACTGATTCACGGGTTTTTCAAAAGCGGGAAAGTAGAAGAGGCCAGAAAACTGTTTCATGAAATGTGTTGTGAAGGTCACGGAGAGAGCACATGGGTTTACAACATGATGATTTCTGGGTTATCTTTGCACGGACGGTTAGATGAAGCTGTGGGCATGTTTGAAGAAATGCCTCAGAAGGGCGTTGCTCGTAATCGGATCACCTATGACACTTTGGTGCAGGGCTTTTGCAGGGAAGGGAAGTTAACCAATTCAAGAGACCTCTTGGACGAGCTATCACTACAGGGTGTAGTTCCATCGAGTTCCTCATATGCCACACTTCTTGAAAAGCTCATTGAGCTGGGAGAATTGCAAGAAGTGAAGTTGTTATTGAGTGATATGCAAAACAAGGGTGTAGAATTATTGGCTGGTACTTGGGATCAAATTGTGAATGGATTGTGCAAATGGGGATTTGTCACTGAGGCGATGGAGTGCTTGGTTGACATGCTAAACAGAAATATTCAACCTCGTAAGACGACTTTCGATGTGCTTATTCAGAGCCTCTTACAAGATGATAGGTTAGATGATTGTGTACTTGTGTTGGACAATATGTTCAGGATGGGTTATATTTTGGAAGAAGGCACGTGCCATGCTCTGGTTGATAAAATTTGTAAACAAGATAGCAACTCTGGAGAAACATGTATGGCAAAGATTCTTGAAGGGAACTGAGATTTTATAATCATCACAGTTGAGAATACTTCATAGGTTCTACAACTTATTTGTGAACAAGTTTTGCAGCTGAAGATTGACAAATGAGCTCTCTTTTGTTGCTTGGAGGGAGCTGTCAAATGTACAGATAATCTTTGGTAGGTCATTGCGGCTGACATGCAGTCTTACGAACATTGTTATCTTAAGCTGTTCATTGTGAATCCGTCTTTCCGAATGCTAAGCAGCAATTTGCCAGTTCTCACATTTCAAATTCAATCATCAAATCCTCCAATTATCCTTTTCCTTTTGATGTGCTCAAACATGAGTGCTCTTCAACGTCATGGCTAATCCAGAGGCTGGAGGAAGAGGAAAGAGCAGGAAGAGAAATAATGTCCTCGAATTGGCAAAAGCCGATGGTAATAAAAAAGGGTTATAAGAGGAGTTTGTTTTGTTGACACTTGATATGACAATCTCTGTTTTTCTCTGAAACTGCTTGCCGATGCACTCACCTCTGTACTGTGTGAAATTCATAGGGAATCACAGGCATGAGACTGTCTACAATGTGCAAATGTAATCTTTTTAAGCTAGGAATATGCAAGTGCATTTATTAGGTGGGATCTCAACAATGCCTGGACATCACACTGATCCTTGATGTCAGTTACATCTCTCATCAGATAGTAATGATTGGGTACTAATTTGACAAAGAATGGAGGATAGTCTCTAATTTAAAGGAGAGCGATGGTGATTCGATGATAGCCCAAAGAGAGTTCAAACAATGCCCTTTCCACCCCGTAAAAGAAAAAGTAGAAGATGTTTCGCCGTTGCCACCGCAATAGAAGCTAAATATCAAAATTTAAAGAAAGCAGTGTGAGTGCCTTCTTTTGGTAATTGACATCTTATGGTGAATCATCCTTTTAATCGAAAGCATCTTTTGTAGCACAAGCTGTTCTTTGTAAGCTACATTGATGCTGGGGGTGCCTTTATCAATTGCTTCCAAGATGGGTTCTCCAAAATAAAGAAATGCCTGCCTGCCCAAATAATTTAAGAATTACTTTACCATCTACAAGAGCTAGACCGGTTCTTACTGTCCGGATTGTCTTTGGTTTGCACATTTGGGTCCTGGTTCTTGTTGTTTTACCAGCCAGGTCCCCTCATAATAATGCGTTCTGGGTGTGTTTTGTACCTGGCCTTTCTTGGGTGTGTAGATCCTACCAAGACATACATGGATGTTGAGTTGATCTGTTGACTTGTTGACCATTAAAAGTTGCATATCCTTTTAAGATTCATTTGACTAGCTTCCCCGGATACCTTTCGTTCACACTGATTATCTTTTGTATGTTTCATAGAAAAATAACTGGAGCATTTGAGGAGCATGGTCTAGAAATTGGGACTGTGCCTGGTTCTCCATATTTTTATTCCTTGTGTAATTAAGTTATGTTTTGCAATAACATGAGTTGTTTTCTCTTGTTTCTGACTTGTACCACACCCTGTCCAGTTACAAACGTTAGTTACATTTATTTTTGTCTCGTTGTTGAAATGGTTATTCCATGCCCTTCTCGGCCCTCGTTCTCCATTTGAGGACTGTTTGTCCAGGTACAACGACAGAAAAGAATAAGATGAACATTCCACTATGCAATTGGCTCTAAATAGTTGAAAACGTGTCTTCTGGAAATTCTGTCTTTTGATCTTGTTGGACGTTAGAATGACCATGCTTTGTTGACTTTCCTTTCCCTCTTTGGTGGAATTCCGAATTGATTAGTTCTGCTATTGGAGGGTCAATTGGGAGTATCATTGCTTTCTGGCTTTCTTTTTATAATGGGATTGGGATCAGATGGCATGCCTCCTCTTTTACTTGAACTTTGCATATGATTCAGTAACATATAGTTGGATACTCAGTCCAATGTACTCTTCTTATTTTAATTATTTTTATTGATGTTGAATGGTACTCCTGAGAAGCATCTTTTCAAAAAGGAGGGACAAAATCTTTTCTTGCAATGGCATTTTTCATTGTGCAGAACTTTCATCCTCTGAAGTTCTATCAATTGCATATGCAGACTAAAATTAAGATTATCCTGAGGAAAGGTCATTCTTTCTCTGTCACGTTGATAAACGTCTAGCAGCATAGGGATTCAGTGTATCATGGAAGTTGTCCCCTCTTGTAATGTCTCAATTGGTGGTAATAAGTGACTTTTCCTTTAGCAGTTAAATTTAGTTGAAAAAATCGTTTTGGAGTTTCTACGTGTCCCATTCTGGTGTTTGATTGTGCCACTTCGACTAACGAAGAGATTCTGTCAATGCCATTTATATATGCACATGAGGATGAGTGGACAGGGGAGCAAAAAATGCAGTAATCTGATGTTCCAGAAGACATTGAACTAGAAGAAATTTGCCCATGGGAGACTATGCCGTGTCCACAGTTTGCCCAGGACAGATTTAACCAGGCAACCAGAGCGTTTCTACTATGCAATATACGTCCCTCATTTTCATCGTGGTTGGTCGGTGATTTGAATCTGTTAAGAAGGGCAAGGGCAGGTCAATCGGCCATTACCATTTTTACTCTATTTGATTCCTCTTTATTGTGTAGATTGCTCCGTACAATCAGTCGCCGATGGTCGGTGTTCCTGCACGGTCATGACATGTTCATTCAACTACCATTGATCAAAGCATCGGCGAAAAGAATTGGCAGACACGAGAACTTTCCTGAGAATAGTAACAGACATTGTTCTCTCTGCCCGCCGGATGGCTTTTGAGTAAAGGTAGCACGCCGGAGAGGGCTTGGTGGCTCGAATAGATGAACTGAGAGAGAGATATGAACCTGGAAAGTATCTGCACATGTTTTTAGCTCTATCCTCTGTCTTCTTTTCATTTCCATTTGGGCATATTGTGTAAGAATCTCTGAACATTAAGGAATTCCAGTATATGCACCTTTTTCATTATATCATCCACCCTAGTGTTTTTTGGCAACCAATGGCCCCTCCGTCATTCTCTGCCTAACCTTGTACCAAGACAGGGATTAAAATGAAAGAAATGTGGTAAGACCAAATTTGAAACTCACCCAAAGTATGGGGACGAAAACCATATTTTTCTCAATATGATTATGGTGTCTCGTTTCATCGGCCAAAATTTTCTTTTTCTTTCTTTTGTGTGTTTTTGAAGGTTTAACCCCATGTCTCGAAATTTAAGGAAATAGCTAGGTGCTCATCTAGCAGTATGTAATATCACTCGGAAGAGTTGTTAATTGCTTTAGTGGGATACCAAACCCAATTTAGACCCGATCGCGATCATCTTAGCTCACGGGGCAAAATGGGCCTGAAGATCTATTTGAACGGACTTAGGCAAAGAGCATTTAGAGTGTATTTACTTCGCGAAAAACGAATGATTTGAAAAATATTTTCCAAATAATGATCGCTTGAAATACTCACAAAAATGAATTAGCAAAAATACTTTCGTCCTTCATAAAATTGTTTAGACATAAATTGTTGTCAATAATGACAACATTTGTTATAGGCTAGTTATTTCAAGCGATACAAACTATTATTTTTTAAATTATTAATTTTTTGCGAAATAAACAAAGAGTTAGTTACAAAACTGCTCGAGCAACAAGTTAGATCCGACCCGATGACCTTGCTCGCCTTCCATCTCAAGAATGTTGTTGGGCAAGTCGCAACATTTTCAAAGAATTTTACTAGGAAATTTGCCTCATTTAGCCTATAGGTTTATTCAAGGCTAATAGGATTAGGTCATGCCAAACCGTGGGCTCTTCTCCTACATCAAACTTGCCCCAGATAACCTTCTCTATGAACGCTCCTTTGGCCCCAATTACATAGGACTAAGAACACTCTTTTAAGTACCCCATCAAACGAGAAATTTGTTTTTTTTTTAGCAAGTCTTCATAATAGAGTAGGGTGAGAATTAGGGGCAAATCTAGCGAGCTAGCCGAGTTTCTAAAGACTCGATGTCGAATTGCTACTCGAAAAGTATGATCGTTGGTCTGGGCTGCCGCAAAGGCGACTCTTTTGGACCTCCTGCCGGGCTTCTTCCCAGATAATTATCTGGCCAGTTGCGGTGGGTCGAAGGAACCAAGGTCCGACAAAAATGGTTCTTCAATCTGAACCAAATCAATTTGTGAACTCCCGAGAGAGAGAGAGAGCATTTATAAGTTCCCTATGTTCTCATCAACCAGGAACCCAACCAGTAACCGTCCTTTAATAAGAACACATGCTAGTGTGTGGTACCTTAAATTTCCCTCGAGCAAAGTCACGTTGGATGTTGGAACTGTTCATGCCTTCTCAATCTATTGCGTATCTCATCCATCTTCTTGGCTTTAAATGTCAGAAACCAAATTCTTTGTCCTTCCCCACCGGTCAACTGCCACCATAGGGATTGCTCATCATTGAACGAAAGCCCACTGGTTCGCTTAACAAGGCAACAGACATTTTACACCCATTTTTGTGCCACTGTAATTGCACACTTATGGCCGTCTCTTCCTTGCGCGCGAGGAAGCTTTTGGTTGACGAGAAAATGTGTGGGGAAGAGCTTTCTTGGATTTTGTCTCGGTGTACGGTTTGTGCATGAATCGAGATCACTGACTTAATCAGGAAAGTAACTATTGAAATGACAAGATCTTCTTTGTATGAATATGCATGCTCATTGAAATTTCGCTAGAGCTGAATAAGTTAGGGTTAATTTCGTTTCGGGTAATTAATGGAAAAAGATATGTTTAAATATCTCACGCCACTTGTTTGCTGGGTTTTTTCATGTTCTTTACAAGAAAAATGACACTAATACTACTTAAACTTTTGCTCAATATTAGGCTTTTAATTTTTTCAACACTATCCTGGAACTATTTCTAAATATTTAATCTTGTCCCTCACAAAGTTAAATCTATGCTTTGGCCTCACTAGATCTAGCCTAAGCGAGACTAATCCTCACCAAGGCTGGCCCTCGCCTAGTCGGGCCTCGACCTCGCCTGTGGCAGGCGACGGCGACCCTCTCCAGGCAAGGCCAACCCACTCGGCCATAGCCAATGGCCAACCAGCGCCTGTGGCCGGTGGCAGGTCACCGACATAAGGAAGAAGAAAGGAAAAAAAAAAAGAAAAAATCAAAAATATTTTAAAAAATCAAAAAAATATTAAATGTTATTAAGAATTGTCCATGTCGGCAATATCCAGTTAAAATTAATCGGAATGACTGAATTGGCACTAAGTCAAAAGGTGTACAACTAAATTGGCGCAATTAAAAAGTTTAGAACTAAATTGGCACAAATACAATATATTTATAACTTTTCTAACGTTTTTCCCGCGGTAGTGTGCCAAAATGAGTTGTTTCACTAGACCAAGGGATTCTTCTCTACTTCGCCTTCACGGTTGACCTAGACAACTCATTATTTCACATCAATGAATCAAACTAAGCTCGTCGAGAAAATTGTACATGTTACGATAAAGATGAACGATATCAGTAAGGGGAAGTATCCGAGCGAACTAATGACAAAGAAAAGCCCTTGAATTCTACCATGAACATGATGAGCAAAGGGGGATTCAGCCGCCGGTTCATGATGGTGACTAAAGCAAGTGATGCTCAATTTGATATATGAACTGAGAATCGTTCTATGTCGACGACAAGATCTTGCAATTGAACACGTTTTGGATGTTTCTCTAGTGGTCCTCCATGAAGGGGGTACGCAAGTTGCTTTTTTTTGGGTGAGAGACATTATAACTCTTCTTCAAACGAGAGAGAGAGAGAGAGAGAGAGAGAGAGAGAGAGAGAGAGAGAGAGATTAGGGCTTAATAGAAGCGTGAGATAGAGAGAGAGAGAGAGAGAGAGAGAGAGAGAGAGAGAGAGAGAGAGAGATTAGGGCTTAATAGAAGCGTGAGATTGATATTCAATTTCATACCGGATGCGAACATCGTTGGAGACAAGTAAAGAGAAGTTATTCCTTATGAATCCACCAATTGCAAAGGGAGATAGAGACATAACATCGGGTACGGTTTATTACGATTGTAGAAGTAGTTGTTAATACATAAACATTAACGATAATTGTTCAAAAAGTTTAAAACCTATCGTACAAAGGCTAATTCAATCCTTAACTTTTAATTGAGTAAACCTTTTGACGATTTTTCAAATGTAGTTTATGCAACAAATTTTGGTTAGAAATTGTTAACGCGGACACAGCCACCTTACGTAACTCAACCGACATTGACATGAATGCTTTTTGCAATTTTTTGATTTTTTGAATTTTTCTCTTTTATTTTCTTTCCTTATTCTTGTTTCTTTTTTTCCTATATTTCTCCACCGCTTGTCAGGGCCTTGATGATGGCCCGCAGAGGTAGCCAGCCATAGGTGAGGAGGTACGGTCCTCATAAATTACCATCACGAGGATTGGGGTCCTCTCAACTTACAAGGTAAATTAATATGCTCATGTTATTCTTTTGAGAGAATAACACATAGACATAAATGAAACTAGTAGCAGGGTCAAGCACTGTACAGGCGGGTTTTCATTATGTTAAAGTAGAATATGTGTTTTTTTTTTTTGGGGGGGGGGTGGGGGGGTTTGGTGGTGTCGGAAAAGTAGAATGTGTGTTTAGTTATAAATTATTTGTTAAAATGTATCCTAATTTCAGGTAAAGCAGAGAAAGAAAAGTCCAATTCAAATATCTTTACACATTCAATGCTACCGACCTTTCCTCTCGAAAAGGAAGAACATGGCGGGCCTCCCAACTTTAATGGCGGAAAAAGGTCGGCCTTGGACATATGTCCAGCCGTGAAGTCATGACAGCCGACGTGAACAGAGAGGACAGAAGCCTGCTGGTAGGTCTGACGTCTGAATGTTCTTGTCTTCTCATTTCATCTGCCTGATTCTGTTTCATATATGAGGGCGTTGAACTGAATAGAGGGTAGATGCAGCCTCCACTCTTTTTTTAAGTGGTCATTATTATACTTTCCATCTCCTGCGATTGACCCACAAGCCAATACTCATATAAATATCATCGGATCGAGAGAGCTCGAAAGATGATTCCCGATTCTTGAACACCCACAAAAATCCAATCTTCTCTGATCAATCTGATCTGGTGAAAAAGAAACGAAAAAATAATGCACACATTCACGTGGCTAGAGTGTTTTTTCTTATTTTTTTTAGGGGCCAGAAGGTGGCTAGACATTGATCAAGTGACATGTGAACGAGCTTGCAACGATGTTAGGTACGAATGACAGATGGAGATGGTGGCCGGAGTTGAGGGACGACGGTAGCAAGGCAAGGGGGGGGGGGGGGGGGGGGGAGATAGGCTAGGGTTTTAGGTTCTTTGTTCATTGAGGTGATTTTCCTAAGCCCTAAGGTATTTTAGTCAACTTGGAGACTGGAGAAGGTTTAATTACCTTTAGCTAGATAGGATTCACATCTTAGTTTTTCATGAACCGGCTTCAATGTACTTTGAGCTCCATGAGCATCGGTGGCTCCATAGTGAGTTAGAGAAGACAAAAACGCCTTGTGAGTAGAGCTTTCTATCATTGATTTGGTATTGTGGAGGATTGAGCTTCTTTCTGTTTGTACACATTCAAGCAAGAATCTTGTCCTCATCGGCCCCAAACAAATGAGAGTTTCTTGTCACAAATCAAAGGTCCATACGATTATTGTCTTGAACCATCAAAAGCTCTTAGCAATGAAAAAAAAAAGCTGAAAAAGTGGGAAGTCTAGTCCACATTATATTAGAAGGGTCACCTCCCAAATTTGGTAGTATCCACATATATCATGGGACAGACATTATCTACTATTTCTATGCGATTCCCACTTTGCCATTTTAGTGCACTACCATTCCATGATATGGCGGGAGAGATAGGCTAGGGTTTTAGGTTCTTTGTTCTTTGAGGTGATTTTCCTAAGCCCTAAGGTATTTTAGTCAATTTGGAGATTGGAGAAGGTTTAATTACCTTTAGCTAGATAGGATT